ATTGTCATACCCTTTGACGGACAATAGCAGCATGGAAATGGACACAAACGAAGGAGTGGTTATCGACTCGGAGGTGCGCAATTGTTATGGTACAGCAGTACCAACACACAATTCGGTTCCATTTGATCATCCAAAAATCATGGATCATCGATCATTTGAACGTCATGTGAGAAATATTATATCACGTGCAACATCTCGTGGCAATTACAATCATCAGGAGCTCGAACGCATGTACCACTTGGCTAGCTACTTCTTAGATTTTCATTTGCGCCAAGCCGTCAGAGATGCACAGGACGATTTCAATAATAAATTTAATCTTTAATATAAGTTCGGCTTCATGAACATTGTTTTGCTTGATTCTATTATATATTTCAGCTGCAAGAAATAAAAGTTCATTTAAAGTATCACAAGTTGTATGGTTTCTATAGTTTTGTTTTGGTATCGTAGTCAGTTCATTAGTAGAGATTATGTGAGGGAAGGGTGTAGAAGATCCATCTGGATAGATTTATATGATGCCTCCCATACACTATGAGATCTTGATTCAATTCTGAACGCACAGTGACATCACTGTGTTCGTGACGGAATCGTCATCTTCAACAAGAAAAGAAGAAGAAGAAGAAGAAGATATTTGTCTAATAGTCGCCTAGGTCCCATCCCTGATCGACAAAATACTTGAGAACGTTTCCAATCGTCCAATATTTCGTCATAGGATTCTATACAATTGTTGAGCAATAATTGACATGGTTGCATTCGTAAATTAACTTAACATACATGTTGGTATATAAAGTGACGATAAATGTGAATGATGCAAAGGTATATTCATAGTAAATTGTCAACATAAATCACCAAAAGATTTCATATTAGTTTTGATAGAAGAATAGAATGTTTCTATTCATTTTGTTTTTTTCTTAATATAATTGGAAATTATAGTGATCATTGTATATAAATCTAGGAGAATTTTATGTGGTTCATTAGTCGAGATTCGGTCCCAAAATGGAGAGATTCGTATGGATTTGCGTGAATCAAGTTAACACACTCATGTTCGATTATGATAGACATCATGGATGAAGTGTTTTGGAATCACTTGAATTGTTCTGAAAATTTTGGCAGGAATATGAAAGGATATGATTACACTCTACTAATTTTGATTCTTTTATTCTAGTATAAAAATACATTGTATCTGTGCACTATGTCACTGCCATCATCTTCAATTGATATGCTTAGGGGTGTCTGTTTCACTGCGACCCTGGTTCGCGCGTCACCTGGTGGTTTCATTTGTATTCATGTGTCCGATGGCTCTTTAATTTTTATCTCGAGTGACAATACAGTTTTACGAATCGGTAGTGACGGAAGATTAATTTTGCCCAATGACTTAACTGTACCGAATTTGAATTCGTCTCACGACAACAGCACTACTTTCAATGATTCAGCATCACTTGACGGCACTAGTGATAAAAATCTGGATGATGGCGATGATAGCGATCGTTCAGTTGTGTGCTTGGGAAGCGGTTCGAATGACAAGGATGACGTCTCGGTCATAACAATAGATAGCAATGATGATGATCATGATAATGCATCCGTTATCTGTTTGGATGATGATATAACAATAGAAGATGAATAATGTTCGATTCGATCGATTCAATGGACAGAGAATGATGAATAAACTACACTTTCTATTTTCGCTTTACACTCTTATATTGGCAATTGCTGCTTTCTATCATTAGTCAAGCATATATATATATTTCATTTTTTCATTTTAATAAACCAGTGAAATAAAAGCTTCACATCTTTCGTTTTCTGTTAGGGGTGGGAAGTAATCGATTACGCGACAGTTACCAATTACCCCGACAACAAAAAAATGGGATAATGTTCAAGTGACTAAGTATCGTCTCCAAAGCCGAACACTCGGTCCTCATGAAACAACTATTGTCGGGGGTGAAGAGTAGGATCTACCCTTGTCCGACAAGCACTAGTGTCTTTAACTAAGTTTTCTTGTTTTGTTCTTGCACAAAACTATACAAAATCGTATTACCCATTGAAAATATTCCACAAAATTATACTCATAGTCTAAGTAAGTTATGTCCTCATTGAATGTCCACAAGTAGAGTTTGTTCCATTGTCACTACTATTGGAATAGATCTATGAAGATTTGCTAATATCTAATTCAAATCATTTGACTGTGAAAAATAAGCAAGATCAATTCAATACGCTTGTTCAAATGCTCCGACGAAACCTTATCGAGAAATTGATACAAACCTATAAACCCCCATACAAAATAACTTTGTTTTCTAAAGTCTTCGATATTTGCTTCTGTTAATTCTACCATCCGATTTTGTTGTGTTTTTCACTGTTTTGTTTTGTTTTCTAGATTCTCTGATTCTTAATAAAAACAACGACTACTTAATTACGAACAAATACAAAAATAAAACCAATTATGGCTCAAACCATTCTATGTCTTGTCTGTAATCAACCCATCAATAAACACAGCAATGATGGCATCCTTCAATACATCTGTGGCCATTTAGAACATGAAATATGCTACTTACAGCAACATTCTCACAATCGAATATGCCCAATCTGTAATATCCTTTCGGACAAACTATTTTTCAAATAAATTTGTTTGCATATATTTTGTTCTAATTCAATTTGAACATGAACTTATTGTGAAATGAACAGTTTGCTTACGTTTTTGTCGTTCACTTTGTAGATTTTCTCTTACATCTTTCAACATTTCTTTTATACGTTACTTTTCAATGATGGCACGTCCAATTATCTGTTCAATATGCCATCAGATTGTTGTTACCAATGATAACAAAGGAAATTTTATTCAATATATGTGTGGACACTATGTTCATCCAATATGCTTCTCTATTTGGGATGAATTTCATCATAGAATTTGTTTTCTATGTAAACAAATATCATGGGTTCTATATCATGGGTAAATATGCTTTGCATATGATTGCAAACTAATGGAACATTACTATTCTAATATGGCTTACCTATTTTACAGGTGATTATCAATGTTGAACATTTCATCTGAACAATATCGAAGAAAAAAAAACATAGATTGATGAATTGTATGTTTTTCCTCTTTCTGTCGCTTTTGTTTCATTTCAAAATCAAAAAATATTTTTGTTCAATCGAATAACCAATGAATGACTCTATTTTTTAGTTTTGTTTTCTTTTTGCATGTCACTAAGAAAGACTGGAATATCAAACTTTAGCTTTGAAAGAATTTTCTTTATTTTTTCCTCTATGAATCATTTTTAGATTGATCTAGTATTCATCTTTAGTTACACTTACGCCATCAAATAATGTCATCATCAAAACCAATGGAGAATAATCAATTCATGCCAATACTACATGCTAATATGGTTTTATTTCATCCAATACATGAACATTTGTCAAATTTAATCATCGTCATCGAAACAATTGTTGATATTGTAGATCAGGTATCCAAAATGGAGTCACCTATTTATTTTGATCCAGAACAAGATGAACTCATTGAAAACAAAACTTATTTTACCAATAGTTTCTATACAACTGAACAGTATATATAAGTCTTCTATAAAGCCAAAATAAATAAAACAAAAGAAAACACGGACACACTCTTATTGTTTTTATTCTTATTTCCGAATTTTCAATGTTCTTTTACTTTCTTTTTTATAAATTCGATTTATTCTACGAAGTTTATTACATTATCTTAACCAATTAGCATAGAAAACACACTATTTCACTATTCATACAGCATCAGATCATGGGATGTCTCGTCTATGATTAATTCAAGTTACTGCTGAACTATTTCAATAGTTTCTAGAGAAAACAAAAAGAGCGCAACACATGGACAAAATAATGATCAAGAGATGAATTAATGTATTCATGTGAAAACTAAATAAACATCTTTACCTTTGTTTTCTCTTCAATATCTAGTGTGATTCATAATCATGAATGCAGCACTCAATACTTTACCTAATTTTCTCATTTATCTAGTTTTTTTTTTGTTGACATACCTGATCTTTTATCATACAGTTAGAAGTGGACATTGAATTTTAAAATGTATCCTAAGCTATTTCTTTTTTGCAAACCAAGAAACAGCCACCTAGGCATGTCGGTTTTCAACATATTCTGCTGGATCAAATTTGCTTTTTGACCATCTTAAGTTCGAAACTAGGAATACAATGAAAATGAGCAAATCTTTTATATATCATACGAAAACTACACTGCATACTCAACTGTGAATTGCTTCTGCCAACTAACACCCACACCCTCTCACTCTCTCTTGCCCTCGCTCGCCCTCAAATATGCATAGCACATTCTAACACGTAACAAGGGCAAACTAGTGTATTACGCACAAGAAATAGCACACAAACGGGAATTTAAGAAAATTATGCATAGAATTGTTTTGCGCAGTTGCATATTTTCACGTCTCTCTCTCTCTCTCTATAACTCTGATATCATATACCACTAAAAAGAAAATACGCCATACATCTATTCCTATTCCAGACCAAAGAAAAACGTTTTTTTTTGCTATGTCCGCCTACACAACTACTGAAATTACCATTTGCCCATTCAAAAAAAAAATATGCAATTCATGTATACATTGTTATCTTATCTCTTCAAGCAAGCCCTATAAAAACCAGTTCGTTTTGTTTGTTCCTCATTCACATTTATAATAGCATCGGGGAAACAATCTACTAGCAAGTGTTGAATAAGGTTGACTTGCATAAGGTAACTTTGTCTGTTTGTAATAGCTATCCCATTGGAAAGATCAACATGAATGTCATAGAGAGATGAACTTCTTTTATCCCATATGCATAATATCGAGTGTCTATGCTGATGAGCTAATCATATACATTGTCTTATTTCAGATAATCTTCATTTTTCTTGTCGTGTTCATGGCCATTATCATGAATATGTCAATAGTTGTTTTATTATCCATCTGTATTTCAACACATGGTTTCTGGTTCGGTTCTAGGGTTAAAAAAACCAAATTAACTACAATGGCTTCTATTCTGAATAAAACACAAGAATGTCGTCGACAAATGTCGTTTCAACAAATGAAGGATCTCTTAAAACAACATCCATGTGCATTCGAAAACAGCATTGGAATATATCATTCACGTATACGACGTGACGTTGATCCAAATACAATTGATATAAAAGCCATCCATGCAACTGTCAATGATCATCGTACAATGATTAATTATTTGATTAATAATTCAGTGAACACGACTATGTTGGGTGAAGCTATTCTAGATCATCATCGTAAAGCTGGTCCAATATTGTCAAGTTGGCGAGATATATTTCATGTATTATTTATCATTATTCTCATTGGATTTATTGTTTATGTGTTGATCTGTCGCACAGGTCTCTTTCCACAGAACTATTGTATTTCCATTTTTTCAAGTTGTTTTATATCGGAGATAAAAGATGAAGTTCAACAGCAACGTGAACAACTTGAACAACAACAACAAAAAGTACAAGAATTAATGAAACAACTGATTGAACAACAAAAGAAAATAAAAACAGTACCACTATCCCACCGGAGACGTGATCTTCCATCAACGAATTCCTATTCGAATGAGACAATTCACCACAATAGAGGTTACATGTCTGATTAAGTCAAACATATACATTTATCAAAATATTCATCAATAGAACTTGATTTGCTTTTCATTTAATCAAACAGTTTTTTTTTGCATGTGAACCATTTCTTTTTTCCTTATTATTATGAAACGTTTTGTTTTGCAAGTTTCTTTCACTTCATTCTATCTAAGGTTTGTCTTTCCTAGTAACAATGAAATTTAAGAGTTATATTCTATAGGTTGTCTGAAAACCTCACCTTTCTATTATCTATGAATAATCACACCATTATTATGTATCTCTCTCAATTTTAGATAGTCTACCATCATTCCCTATCCACAAAAATACCAACAAAAACGATTCGAATGACAATGATGAAAATAAAAACAATTGATGAACCTACACAAGCGTTTCCATTAACTTTGATCTATTGAAATCAGGTATCTCTATGTGCCAATGTTTGCAGAAGAAGTTCAGGAAACATTGGAAATATTGTTTGATATTCCTTTCTTTCTAACAAACATTGCAAAGGATTTTTGTCCAATGTTTGATTCTTTCCCGCTTTACTATTTCAAAATGATTTTTGTTTTTCTTTTACTGTTACAATTGTAACAGATCAAGCATGTATACATATATTGCTTCTATCATTGTAGATTATTCTTGATTGCATAGTCACTATTGAATTCTACAAAAAATGAATGAGAAGGAAATTTTACCACAATTTGATCTTGATACAGCAGCTTTATTCACATCGGATGAAGATGATAATAATGATGATGGCAATGATAATCTAATGGAAACGCAATATTCAACACCAACAGCACAAGAAAATCGTTTCAATCAAACACCCACCAAAGGAACAACAGCAGTAACAACAACAAGTGTTTTACAAATAACATTACCACCATCGACACCAATTCGATCCTCTTTGAAGAGAAGACAACAGCCTACAACAGAAACAATCAGAAAAGATATCGAACTAATTGATTTGGTAACACCAAAAAAGTCACCACAAGGTCTTCATCAACCAAATTATATACGGCGTACACTTCATTTCTTTAATCAACAACGTTTATCAATTTTACCAACATTTCCAATCGTTCATAATGACAATGATGATTCCGATTTATTGCTATTGGCAAATGTATGTCCTATGCAATTGTCACCAACAGAATTAGTACGTCGTCAACATGGCCAATATAAACATGCATTTGATATTAGAGATCCAAATGCATCAGAAACATCATTTATGGTCCAGCAATACCAAATTTATTATGTATCCATATTGGAACGTTTCAATGTTGATTTGCCAATTGTGGATCATAATTATGCACGTTTGAAATATGTTCTTGAATTATTTCGTAAAGCTCGAATGCGAACACTGAGTGCAAATAATAAACGTTTAGAACATACATTATATTTAAAGGATAGTGAAATGCCATTATTATTAGAATTTTATTTACAAATGGATATTGATCTTTTTTATATGAAAACATGTTCATTTCGCGATGCTCAACCAAGATCAAAAACAGAAGGTATATTCTGTGCAACTTTACCTGAATGTCGTTATAAAATAACACCATGTGGACACTGTAAATTATGTCGAACACCAGTTGATATGAAATATCGTTCACAAGCACCTATATTATTTAATCGTTACGGTAAACATGAATTTGTAAATCGTTATCAATCAATATTAAATTGTCCAGCAACATGTAATACAACCAATATTATTTACGTTTTAACATGTTTATGTGGTCAATTTGATTATGTCAGTGAAACAGCATATACATTGGCTAAACGTTTCGATGGACATCGTCAATTGGCTAATAAGGCTGTATGTAATTTATTAATTGGCAAAGAAAATGTGATTGGTCTCGCAATTAATCAACAATATGCATCATCTTCGTCCGATAAAGAATATATGTCATTGTATCAACATCCAACACAATGTTCAGCAACAATACAAATGTTTTTAGATTACAATAAACTGTATTGGCGATTTGTACCAATGAAAATCGAAGAAGCAAATCAAGATGATGCTAATTATCAAAGAGCATCTGCAACAACAACAACAACAACAATGTCAAATGTTCATTTTGATAAAAATATTCGAATACATCTGAAACATGTACCTAAACCACCAGCTGATTATAAATTTTCGAAACGTCAAATTGAAAAACAAGCTGAATTTTTTCAAAAATATTCTACTTCTCCACCAACAAATGAACAAGTGGATCTTTATAATGCAAATATTATTGCTGTGTTACCACCAAATACATCAGATCTATTTCGTCAACATGTTCATTCATTATTTGTCACCCATACTGAAGCTAAATTAAATACATTAGGTCATATCTTTGAATCAAATATCAATATACATAGTGCACAGCATGTTTGGTGTGCAAATTTAGTTCGTCGTCCTAATTTATCTATGTCACAACGACGTTAAGCAATTTTTTTACTGATATAGAGACACATATTTGTAAAAGCTTATTTGCATGCTCGAAAACAAGAAATTTTGCTTCTTTCATCATATTTTTCTCACTTATTTGCATGTTAAAATATTCTTTTTCGATTTCATTGATCGATTTAGTCTATGTATTTAATCAACAATATTTATCTAATGATGTTCTATCTTCTTTTCTGTTTCATTTCAGATACATTCTACATTAAATCATAAATAAAGAAAATGGCTATCAATCATAAAAATTCTCGTCTTCTTCCAGAACCACAACCACTCGATATCTTCCAGAACTCTTCTGAATCTAAAAAACCACAACATCATTTGAACATGTTAGCATTACACCAATTTCAACCCGTAAAACCGTATGAAATTGGAGCTATTCATTGTTTGACATTGATCAGTCATATTTCATCTCTGATTCACCATAGTGATAAAACAACAACATTCTCCATTCACACAACCAGAGCGACAGATGATAAAACGGTGACTACAATTGAAATTGAATTTATACAAATAGAAGAACCTAAATCGATTGTTCTTGTATTTGAAATATTACATTTACCTCATCCAAATACACCCTTATTTATGGAAATACAAAAATTATTGTCTACTATTTTTCATCAATCAAAAATATTGTTTACTTGGTCCAATAGAAATAGAAAGGATCTTGATGAATTTATTAATTTCCAATTGCTACCTGTCAAAATATTCGACGTTGTAAATATCATTGAATTACAATTACCCTTCAAACAATGGTATAATCAAACATTTAAACATGATAAAAATTGTTCTGTCCCATCATTTTGTAATATGGATGCTGTCTGTTGTATCTGTCCATACCGCCCATATAAATGTATCAATGATCAATGGTCTTTAGAAAAAGCTGTGAATTATGTGTTTAATGAATATATTCGGGAATCCAATCAAAATGATACAAATTATCCAGATGACATCAATCAATCTGTCTGTTACTGCTTCGCTATTAGTAAATTATCAATGATATTAGAACTTGATTGGACAATAGAACAATTGTATCAATACAAAAAACTCCATCAAGGTATAGAGACATTGCTCAGGAATCTTCAATTTGATGTATTTCACTTTAGAATAACAATCTAAAAGAAGAAATGAACACTTCATCCGAATTCGGTTATCATGATTCGTTTTTCTTTTTCTTTTATTGTATCACAAATTTTTCTTTTTGTTTTATTATGATCTATGATATGAAAGCATTAAGATTTATAACCCTTTTTATTTTAATTCCGTTCATAATTTTAGATATTTGACTATCAATCGAACAAATTTTTGGTTGCAAAACCAATGACTAATCGAGATCGAAACGTATGTTTAATTCGAAAAAATTCAGAAGATGACCTCCCTATTAACAAGTATCTATTGTAGATTGAAAGAGATATAGATCGATTCGATGATATTTTTCATCACTATGGCGATGATATCGATGAAGATAAAGATACAACTGTTGATTTTGATCATCTTTATACAATTTTTGGCAAAGATAATGATATGGATGAGACAGATGTAGTAGAAACGGAACTCTTCAATGATAACAAGAACATTTCAGTTGATCTAACCGTTGAAGAAGAAGAGGAACATTTATCTCAAAAATTAAGTCAATTATCAGCGGTTGATAAAGAGCAAGACTTGAATAATAAATTCAAATCATCAACTGTCAAGAAACGACCAACTTTAACACCAAGTACAACAATCGAGAATATACCGAAAAAAATGAAATCCGATAAAGAAGAACAAATCAGTCATTTGATTCCAAGATATTTATCAAGTAATACGAAAACTTTTGAACAAATGATCAATCCTATACTTCAAAAAACACGAATTTCTATTAGTATTGAATATTTACGTGAGATTGCTCTTCTTATTCATCAAATTGAATGTATCAATCTCGATCAATTACTATGGACGACCTATTTACGTTCTGGTACCGGTACATTAAAGCCACAAACAAACACTACACTCTATTTATGGCCTGTCGAAGTCAAACAGAGAATGATGGATCGTGGTCAAACAACTGCATCGAATCCAAATGAAATAGGTCACGCTTCTTGTTTAGATTATGTCCAGAGAGTTCTACAAAAATTTCAAAATCAAACAGACCATTATCAAGCTCAATTGAAAGAAAGAAAACAACGTTTACTCAACTGTTGGACATGTGAAATAGAAGAAGCGATTACAAAATTTGTTCGACAACACGTTGAAGCTCTCTATAAAATAACAACCGAAGGACTCATTGCTGCTGTCGAGTATGATTATCATGATCGATTAATTCAATTAGAATATGAGCAAGAAAATCCAAATGAATATCAAAAACAAATATTCGCCGATCTTACTCAAGCTAAATATGACAAAGAAACAGCTAAATTGGATTTGGCGATAATGAAACAACGTATTGTTTATAATCATCTACCAAAATCATTCGAATCTCTTCGAATACCTGCACCCATATCCTTAGAAACAGTAACAGATAGAACTATTCGTCAAAATTTATTAGATCGATGTGAAAAAATTTTACAACGTGCAAAATCGGATATGATGATGGTTTATACAACAACTGCCGAAGCGAAACTGGATCAACTCGACAAGAAATTCGATAGTGAAATGACTAGAATGAAACAAAATCAACGTTCTCGTGTATCACATCAAATATTAACTGAAACAATGCTCGAGATTTTAGAAAGACGTTTCAAATATATCAATGAACATCTTATGCGTCTTTACAAATTAAAGTTACGTTTTTTCGTCAGAGCTCCGACGGTCAAGAATTAGATTGGATCGATCGTCGGAGCATTCTTATCCAAAACTCAAATACAACTTGTTCACCCACAATGATTCAAGATACACCACATTATTTATCCATAGAACAAGTCAAATTTCTCAATCGTGGGCCTAGTTATGTTCCACCATGTCAAATACATATTCTATCAAAATCATCTTTAACATTAGCTCAAATGGTTACTAAACAAATGGTACCACTTCGACGAGAACTCACAAAACTATTTACGAACTATTCAGGGGATCTTCCTCGACGAATGAATTTTGAAAAAGAAATTCAACAATGCTTCAATGATTCATTTATTTGCTCAATGCCTGATGTACTCGAAGAACGTGCACTCTATGAACATCGACTCATTCAATCAATCCGATATCATTTGAAAAAAGATCAACTTATTTTAAAACGAACTGCAGATGATATGAATACATATTATCTGGGTCGATTGGATGAATTTAATCAGCTATCAGATAATTTTCTTGAAAATTCCACGTGTTATGAACTAATTGAAACGATGTCTGATACTCATACAGAACAAGCAACAAAGTTACAAGAAATAATCCTATCGATTAATTCTCAATTAGAAAAATTATATCAAAGAAAATTAATTAATAAAGATCAATTAACTAAATTTAGTATCAATAAAAGATTAAAATTGAAATTGCCCTATCTCTATTTCTTACCAGAGACAAATGCAGATATTCAAATGACAGTTCAACCAAGATTTTCATCTTATCAACATTCTCCAATACAACGATTAGCACAATATCTTACACAACTTCTGCGACCATTATTCAATATTTTTTCACAATCTACTGCATTTTTTAATAGTGGTGATTTTATGCAAAAACTACAATATTATTCAACACAATCCAATCTTTTCCTACCAACCACACATTTTGCAACATTTAAAATTCATGATTTGTATACAATGATATCGCACAAGAATCTTCTTGATGCATTACATACATTCTTAGTAAATCCACTTGTTATTGGGCGATATGACAAATTATCTATTGATGCTATTGTAGAATTAACTGCTATAGTTCTTGAAAATAATAATTTCACCTACAATAACAACATTTATCGATTTATCAAAGGAGGACCATTAAATTTATCATTAGTATATTTATTAGCTAGTATCTATTTACATGATTGGCAAGTTCCTTTAGTTAGAAATATTCGAATAAGAGATGCATTTTACGGTCGATATAATGATACAGGTTTTCTTACATGGAACGCATCTATCAATGAATTACAGAAAATATTTGATGAACTTCAACAAGCACTCGATTCAAATCTTCAAATGACCACATTTATTTGGAATGATGTCCATTTTCTTCAAGCTTCAATTGAAAATCAAAATGGTCATTTATATACTCGGGTTTATCATGATCTGATATGTCAACCATTTTTATTACCTTATGCACATCGTTATCCACGATTATTTCATCGACAATGGTTTCGAGCGAGTCTTCTACGTGCTGGTCAATATTGTAGTAAATTTGAAGATTTCGAAGAAGAGCGACTTTATCTTGAATTAACATTTCTTGCCAATGGATATTCATTAGATTTTGTCGAATATCATTTAAGACAATTCTTTTCACGTTTTAATCCAAAGCCACATGAACCTATGAATCTCAATCCATATAAATATCTTTCATTTCATCGAGAATTATTTCGTTGTGTCGATCAACAAAAACATGTTCTACAAGAAGAACAAGAATTACATAAGAATCAGCGATTAATTCAATTACATTATCTGTTCGATTGGGGTTCGAGATGTCAGTTTAATGAAAAATTCTATGAATGTTGGTCTGAAATTCTCGAAAAAGATCCACATTTTAAACAGTATGGATTGAAAATTAAACTTAATCCTAAACATTGCTATACATCCAATAGTCTCTTAGCTCAATCAAACACACATACATGAACTTAAAGAACATAATGATCCATATATGTTTAGATATTTCGCATGTTTCATTTTTTCGGCATTCAATAGAACTTATACACGTCATGTTATACTTCTTTTATTTTATTTTTTTTCTTGCATGTGTCCTATTGTTGTGCTCTAATTATAGTTCTATTTTGATCATTAATATATATCACTGTAGAATTTCAAAACACTCAAGCAAACTATAGTTATCACTTCCACTGAGTTTACCTTTTATTTTTCTTTTCTTCTAGATCCAATCGAATAATATAACGATGCAATCATACGCTTATTTGTTGTTCTCACTATCGATTCTTTATTTATCTATCACTACTACTTTGGATGCTGCCGAAGGTAATGAATGCAATGTGAATCGATATGAAAACATTGTCATAAAATTAGAAACATGTATATCAACTATATACTTCTTATTCACCATCATATTTACTGGTATTATCATATTATTTTTCGCCAAGTACTATCAAAGACAGCAGCAAGAAAAAGCTTCCATAGTTGCCAAGAAAGAAACAATACTCATGACTAGTGTTAATCGAACTATATATGAATTACCACGATTTCATCCAATCAAACCTTATGTGTTATTTTATATTCATCGAACACAAGCACAATTCGTTTTCGATGAACTCATTAATCTAGCAACAAAAACCAAATTATTTACAATTGTACCAAAAAATAGGTCCTTATATTCTAATTATATGTTGATTCATGTTGAACTCATTCAAAATTCACAAACAATAATTGCTCTGATCGAATATTCTAATGAAAGTGATCGAAATTCTTTTTATTACCATTTACTCCATACTTTCTTTACTATTCTCTTTGATTCCTCAAAAACAATTCAAACATGGGGTAATCTTCTCGATCAATTAGTACCTTATACACGGTATGGTCTATTTGCATGTAGTGATGCAAGTCAAGCTCAATCAATTGATATTCAAAAACAATTTAAACCATGGTATAATAATATATTTCGTCATAATATTCAATGTCATCAGTATCTGAAATATGATGAAATTGATAGTACATTATGTACATGTGCTCATCGACCCTATAAATCATCGTCATGTCAATGGTCAATATCAAAAGCTATTGCTTATACATTTGAAGAACGTTATGATTCTTATAGTCTTGATATTCATAAATGTATAGCAATTACTAAACTAGGACATGTTATTCATGAAAAATGGACTAGTGAAATGTTAAAAGCTTATCAACAGAACCTACATATCAATGAAAAAGTAATGAAATTAAATTTCGATAAATATTTTCCTCAATGAAATTTGTTTAACCTGTCTATGATATCTCCTATGTTTCTCTACTTAGAATGCATAGCAACAGTTTGATGATCCAGTCACATCAACATCAAACCAATGAACACAAGGAGACTTTTCCACGTTTCTCTTTTTCAAGATAAAATCTGAAATTATCTTTTTGTTTTTGTTTTCATATGGAACTTTCTAGTTTTTCTCTTTTGTAACACTGAATTTACTACTCGAGAAAATTATCTATATATCTTTATGGGAAAAAAACTTTATCAAGTGTATAGTCATGAGAACTATTTCCTTTTTAGATGTAAATTAGAAATAATATTCAATCATTCCTCATGTTTCGATCTATTATGCATTTTGTACTTTGTTTTTGAAACATCTTTTCTATTATTCATGAAAATAAAAATGGAACATTTTATAATCATGATATTGCACAGATACAATGTATATATGTCATGGGTATTTCATTGATATCGATCTTCCTTGATTTCGGGATTACTTGATGGATCAATTACTAACAATAACAAAAACTTTAATGAATTAATCCTTTACATTCTATTGTCTTCCATCCAGCAGATACCATTCAAACATGGAAAGATTGAAGTCAAAAGTCATTTCATTGACCAAACTGATGAAGTCTTCTTGAACGGTAATACACATTAATGTCATGTCGTGAATATGCGCACATCTTTTTAAAACTTGGTATCATACAACATTTGGTCACAATGAAAATTTGGATCAGATGCTTCATTTTCATGTTATGAATGATCCATGCTGTTTATGTTCATATCAGCCACTTAAATCTCCCAGTCCTCAATAGTTTCGATCAAATGCTATTCCATATACATTTAACAAATATATTTCCACTGAAAATAATAGTATTCAAGCATGTCAAACTGTAACAAAACTATCTAAGGTGATTTGAAACAAATGAATTTGTCAACGAAAAATCGAACTTATCGAAAATAATTTTCGTGTTCATTTAAAGGGGATAGCTCATCGGTTATATATGTTTCTCTAGACTGAATATATTCTCTTTTTTGTTTTAGAAACAATGAAAGTTTTTCATCGCCATCAAGTACACAAAAACAGATTGAACTCATCTTATTACAAAAACAAAACAAATTCTATTTTATCTTCTATCTAGTTTCTTTGAATTGATGTGTTATTTTACATTGTCCCATCTGATAATATCAATCTTTTGTTTTCTACTTTCGATGTCTATCTATTGAGTGTGCAGGAATACTATTGCTAGAAATTATTGTAATACAGTAACTAAATGGATCGACATATTTACATATATATTACATGATTATATCGCAATTGTAGATCATATTCTATTCAACAGCTGATTTATCGTATATTGAATCTTTATTTTTTGTTTTTTGAAATGGCATCTCCTTCGGAATCATTATCATCATCATTATCACCATCAGCATCTCCAGTACTATTATCACCTGCGAGAATGTTAGAAGCAGCACTCATTGATGTTGAATTTCCCGATGATCGAAAAGAATACTTTGAAGGTACATTAGAAGACTATAACATCAGTATTCCTGAGAAATATTTAACACCTATGATTGAAACTGGTTTCATTGATCAGTTTGTAAGATTAATTATGAAGATTGAGAAAAAAGAAAAAAAACTTATAAAGAATTCTCATGATGCAACAAAACGTGAACATGAAGAAAAGAATGAAGGCTTGATTGATGAACCTCAGAATAAGAAACAAAAACGGAACAATGAATTGGATTCAATGGAAACTAAAACCATTGCATTAGAATCATTAAACAGCAACAATCAACAAATTAAATCTGAAAATGAAGATTATATTTCTTCTACTAGTGATGCTCTGGATTGACATTCTAGTTTCCATGAATGGCGATTACACTTCGTTATCCTATATATAAAAAACAGTAAGATTCATTCAAATATTGACTAAAATCATTACTTGTTCATATCTTTTACTTTCATTCTAGTTAAATATTCTTGCATTGAACTATATCTTTTAACATAGGGACTATAAAATATTGCTTCAATTTAAACTTACAAGTGCTTTGATAATTTTAATTGTTCTTTTTTTCTTTTGATGCTTTCCTTTCATTCTATAATCCAGCAATACATTTCAATAATATAATCATGCATGATTTATATCATTTTAGATTAAAACCACTTACTCTTGTACTGTTTACTTCAAACGATGAACAAAAAACAAACACAAAACATTTCATTGTTTCCAAAACCAACCGCATACACTACTATTCTCATTCTTCTACTCTCGCTCTCACTGACGCTAAATGTTTTTCTTCTTTGATCAGATAGTACATTAAATTATGCAGTTGCATTTCGGCACGTCTTAAGGACATTTTGTTTTGATAACAATGTCAAAGGGTAGCGGGAAAAAATGTAACTATTTCAAGGGCATCCAAATATTATTGCAGGTCTTTTCTTCAGAAATAGTCTCGGGCGAAAGGGGCTGGATACATACAAAAGAGATGGCATGTTATAGGAGATAAACGCCCCCGTTCCCTCAACAATTTTCCCCTCTAGAAAGAAACGAAACAATACATAGCAGAGGGCGTTCGTTATCTTCGGTATACGTATATAAACCGATGCTTTTTAGCTTTATTCTTCATTTCATTTCAAACAATATAATAAGTAAGTACCATTGATATTACTTTTAGCTCTCTCATCCTTCATATATACATATACAAGCCATATATATAAATATCTATATATATATATATGAACAAACATAATATGGTCTATGATTCAAAATGGATAATAAACAACAGATGATCTTTGATAGATGAGTTCTAGTATGTATAACAATAAACATTTTTCTCTTTCTATTGTAGATACATCAATCTCTAGTCCTGAAGAGTACTATCTTGTAAAAGATACGAAACGCGTCGGCGAAATTAACTCTGCATTATTTCATTATTTTAA